CACACACACACACACACACACACACACACACACACACACACATACACACATACACACGTCCAAAACAACATCAACAAACAAACTACGGGCTACGCACCCGTGCCCTCACGGTAAGTCAATCAGAGTTGCGACTTCGTCCTTTCTGGACGAAGTCCGCACGTGTGACCACACAGGGACCAAGTAACCCAAATAACCGTACCCAAATGCCTCAAATTTTTGGTTTTTTTGGTCCCCGTGTGAGTATGCCCTCAGTTCCGGCATTCACGTTCGCAGCCAGGAGGCTGCGCTATACCCGGTTGCATTTTGTCGCGTAGCGGCGCGGCCTTTTTAGGAAATGTCGACGACGTCTAACTGGGTCTAACGGGGTTTATTGGGCGCTGAGAAGGTACACGATCGTTGTTGGGGCAGAGACCGGTCAGTGAAGCGGTAGGCCTAAAGTTTTGAAAGCGGGCTACCAACGGTCTGTCACGGAGGTCGTCCGGTGGTGTTGGCAGGTGCCGCCCGGGATTTCTAGTTCGAGGCTACGTTCGTTTTTTTTCTTTTTCGCCCCCTCTTCTTTTTGTCGCKCGTGACCCCTCGATTCTTTTGATTTCGCCACCCCTTTTTTTTCTCATTTCTCATAGCGCGGCGGGTTTGGGTTTGGGTCGTTTTTTAAGTTCCCTCCATGCAGCATCGGTTTACCTCTTCGACTCAGGGAGTCGAGCGTCTGGAGCCGGTGTCGGAAGAGGCGTTCATGCATAGGAGCGGACAACGATGCAGATGACGACGACAGCGGCTACCCTTCTCCTTCTTCTTGCTCCTTCGAGCTCATTCTCTCTCTCTCTCTCTCTCTCTCTCTCTCTCTCTCTCTCTCTCTCTCTCTCTCTCTCTCTCTCTTCTTCTTCTTCTTCTTTTCTTTTTTTTCCTTTTTTTCTTTTTGTTGAAGTGTGCACGTCCACTACTTTCGACATGGGGCCGAAAAAACTCTTGAGAATATCTGAGAGCTCTTGAAAAATTTCCCCGTTTCAAGAGTGGTGTGGCGAGGCCCATTCACAATCTTTTTCGTTCTGTGCGCTTCAAGCCCTGCCCGCCGGCCAGTCTCGCTCCCGACTGGCTGCGCTTCCATGCTTGCGCGACACATATATATTTTTTTTTCCATTCAATCATCAGGGACATACAACTGACATTCATGTTTCAGTGGCCCCGCCCACGGACCTCCAGTCCATGGGAGGCGTGCCCTTCTTTGGTCCCGCATCTGGCCGTAGCGTGTCGTCGACTCTCCACAGATGACGCTGGATTCAAACTGGGACGATCGCGAAGATGGGGCCGCAGGCCCACACACCGCGGGAAATCCAGGGTGGGCCGCACTGCTGCCCCAAAGTGGCCTATAGACCCCTTCTCTGATGGATGCCCTCACTCCTTGGTTTGTGTATCTGCACACATGCACGTTGGTGACAACCAGTCACGTGCTACAAAGACTCGGGAGAAGGATCGCAACCTGCAGGGACCAGTCAAGCACCGGTCACATGTTGTGGCTGTTCCTGGATCAAGTACCTGGAGGACCGGAGAAGGAATGGTCCACCCAGATTCCCATCTTCCCACAACCTCTAACCCCTTGGCTTGATGTGACTATCTGCTTCCTTCAGTATCAGCCTTCAATGCTTGCTTGCAATCTCAGCTCTGCCGCTCGTCTTGTATTGTCATCTGGTCAACAAAATCTCAAGAATAAAGAAACGCAACCAACCATATACATCGGCAAGATCACGAAACTCAAATTGTGAAGACTTAAGATGCAAGGCAAAATCTGATCACTCGACTGACAAACCATCGAACCACCGATGAACGCATCCAATCCATGCATCCCGAAGACAGTTTCAACCAGCAGCATCATTCTGGGACATTGTTGGTTGGTACAGGTCACGATAAAATTGATACATGATAGTCAAGAAATGATGTTGAGATGTTGGATCCAACAGAAACTGGTTGCAACTATCACGTCGGAGGTTCGCAGACCTACTAGACCGCTTCATCTCCCCCCCATCTCCCTGCAAGTGAATGTGGCATCTTGCAGGGAATGATGGAGCGACTGCATAAACGATAGCACTTGGAAAAAGAATCGAGAGGCGCAACAACTTAATCAAGGAGTTAGGAGCAGAGTGACAATGGCAAAATGGAATGAAGAAAAATTTTATTGTGTTTAAATGAATGGTTGGAGAGGGTCGAGATTGAAAAAGGCTACATGACTTGGAGAAACTTACACGTCCTCTCATTTGTCAATGGTCAGTGGTGGGTTGAGATCGATAGTAACAATCGTACTTTCGATGTTGAGGGATGCCTAATGATCTTTCCATCGGCTATTGATGTTATTATAAATCAGAAGTAATTTTTCCACCTTCTTGGAAAGGAAGGAATACCTATGCCAAATTCGAAAGGTGAAGTCATTCAAGAAATACTCGAAAATATATTATAAATATGCATTAAGTCTAGGGGTTATAAAAAAGTCAGCACCTGCCATCTAGTTGCGATGAGAGACTTTGAGTTTGATCTTGCGTATATTCGAAATAAGATGCTAGCCCTGAAATAGTGTCAAAAGGTAGACGAAGATCATGATGCAACGAATGTGTTTTGCTTGTGAAAAAGTTGCTAATGTGTAAGGATATCTCTAATTTTTTCACCATAAGTGTATTACCTTGGATACTTTATTTCACTCTTGAATTCAAAAGGTCAAAGTCACTATAAGTTTTAATCGACTCTTTCAAAAGCGACTGGAGACTTTTTATAATGTAATTAAGAGGACATGGTATATATGTTTCCTCAAAGCATTTGGTTGACTAGCGAGTCGTTTGGTTCAGTGAGAGGGTTATTGTCATGAGAGAGCGAGGTCTAACAAATTTAATATTCTACACCCGAGGGGGAATGATAAAATCATGATAGGCTAACTCCTTTAAGTTCAAATAGTGGTGAGATAGACAGTTAATGGACACGCCAACGACCAAAGCACCATTGATAATTTTATGACTACAAAAAATAAACTGTAAATTTTTTTAGAGGATCAAACTGAAGCTTGAAAAAATTAAGTTAAAATCGAAACAGATAATACCAAGGGAATAATAACCAATATTGTTTTCAATAACGCAAAGGATTTGCGGCCGGTATTTTGCAGTTATGCACTAAAGACTTATTTTTATTACTCAGGCTGGAATGGTTGTACAAAGAGAACAAAATGTTAGAAAGGAGTTTGAAAGGATCACGAAACACTTCTTGGGTGAGGGACGAGTTAGACTTTATT